ACAAGAGACCCGAGAACTAGAAAGGCGAGGCTTCACCACCCATTTATCCCTCCGCCTTTCAACCAGCACCACATGTGATTATCGGCCAGGCTGACACAATTAACTAACTCAGTATATCCCTAGATATTTCAGTATGTGCTTGGCTATTGTGAAGGGTCCTACCTTTTGGCCTCCTCTTCCATGGTCTCATCTGATGTATATAGCAGTCTGACAGACTTCTGTTTGTTGATCTTTTATTCTCTCCTCTTCTTCACGGTGTCCACTGATAGGTCTGGGCATATTCTTATTTGGGTACCTTTGTAGGTGACTGAGTTTTTTCACCTAACTGTTATAATTTTCTCCTTTTCCTCAAAATTGAATAGTTTAACTATTATTATACTCTTCGGAAAATTCTTCTTGGGAATCAGTCTAGCTGTTGTCCTTTTAGCCCACTGGATGATTGCCTGATTTTTTATTCATTAAGCTGGAGAAGTTTTCCTCTAAGAATTTCTTTGCTGTTTTTGCTGTTGGCGTCTTCATTGTGTCTTGTTCTGATAGTCCTATTATTCTAAGTTGTTACTCTTCATAGCATCAGACAGAACAATTCTCAGGTTTTCTTTAGCTTCTCTGATTATCTTGTTTGGCTGTCTTTCCCATTTATCGAAGTCTGCCTGGTTATCCTCAAGAAAACGAGTACAAATCTCTGCTTCTAGTCTGTTGTAGAAGTCTGTGAATTTTGTTATTTGCTTTTGTTACCTCGTCCTTTAACTCTTGAATTTTCCTTTGGTGTGTGGCCTTTATCTCCTCTATCATTTCATCCTTTTTCAGTATTGCTTCCCTCATATCCTGTGTGACTCCCCGCAGCATTCTGAAGATTTCTTTCTGTGGCAGATCAACATCTGATTCTCCACTTCCTCTGACATTACATTTTGTTTCTCCGGACTGTTCATTGAGGTTGTTAAGGCAGTTTGCTGTCTGCATGTTGATTTGTAGGAGCTCCGAGCCATTTGCCTAGGGAGTCAAAGATCCTTGGGCTCTTTCTTTGGGGCCTTGGTAGGAATGCTTCTGCAGGCTGCTTCTAGCCAACTGCCCTGGGTTAAGCTATGGTTTTGTCCCTCTGGGATTTCTCTCTAACCCTAGCCTATTCTGTTGCTTGGAGGACAGGTTGGATGGCCCTCTCAGGGGACACTGGCTGGACATTTGCAGGCTGTGAGGGTAGTCCTATCTAGGCTGGTTGAGCAAGGAACAGCTACAGTTTGGTGGAAAGGCCTCAGGGGTGGTTTGAGGTGGATGGAGGCTGGCAGTGGTTGGCAGACCATGGTGCTGTCCAGGGAGGGCTGGCTGATGGTGTAGCCGAGGGTTCAGGGTGGCCTGGTGTGGACACCACAAGGCCTGAGGCCATGCATTGGAGGTAGAACCAGTTTTTTAATTAGGCTGCAGCTTTCAGCTCCTGTTGGTTTTCTGTTTTGTTATAGTAAAGCTCTGTAGAGTATGCACAGGGGACCTGCTATCTGCCTGATTTGTTATGTTAAAGCTATATAAAAGGAACCAGGTTTTTGGTAGCTTACATTCAAAGTTACACAAAGGAACAGAACCTTTGATTGAAAGTATTTGTTGTTGTTTTTTTCTTTTAATAATGGATTTGTATGGGGGCCTGTTATCTGAGCTGTGCCATGATGTCCCCCAGGGAAAGAGGACCAGATTAGCGAAGTGGGTTTGGGGCCCACTGGGTCTGTATTGCCCCAGCTGCCTTCCAGTGTCACCCCAGCTGCCTCCTGCACAGCTCATAGGCTGTGCCCTGGGGATCTACACGCTACCACAGGGGCTCAATATCCTAGGGAAGTGGTTCTCAACATGTGGGTCACGACCCTTTGGGGGTCGAATGACCCTTTCACAGGGGTGGCCCAATTCATAACAGCAGCAAAATTACAGTTATGAAGGAGCAACAAAAATAATTTTATGGTTGGAGGGTCACCACAACATGAGGAACTCTATTAAAGGGTCACAGCATTAGGAAGACTGAGAACCAATTATACCAAATTAGTGTCTAATTATCAGTAGTTTCTATCCAGACTGGCAGGCAGGGAGCTGAGCAGAGGGGAAATGGGATGGCTGATGCAGTTGCTCTGTTCCTGGCTGGGGAGAGAAGATGCAAAGCCTGTCAATGAAGGAGGGGGGAGGGTTGCAGAGAGAAGACCTCCAGTGTGAGCCCTTATGGCTAGTTCTTGGAGACTCTCCAAGAGCCCGAGATTATGGCCACCTTTAGACTGCAGTCTGGGAAAACTACTGCATGCTGTGGGTCTCAAATCTTAGGCACAGGAAGGGCTGGTGGATACTGTTCCACTGGACCTGGTGAGGGATTAGTGGAGCCTGTGGGCAGAGACAGTGAACTTAGAGCATTTCAGTGAGCCCTTGAATCAGCCTATGGGTGAAAATCGTGGGGTGAGGTCTGATCTACAGAACCTAGTACGTTTGAACTCTATTTCTGGCATCCTGCCTACCATTTTGGCCTCCTTACCTCTCAATTTTCCGATCTAACAGCAGGAACATTGGGTGGGCGATTCTACCTGGACACCATCTTGGAACTTCTCCAATGTTCAATCATTTATTCAGTCAATGAACTTAATCATCTTTTATGTGAAAGGCATTGTACTCTTCCTGACAATGAAAATGTTATTTTTAAATGTTCCCTTTTCTTGAATATATATATATATATATATATATATATATATATATATATATATGCTAAAGCATGTATAGAGACAGGAACAACATATTTTGCTGGCATTATGAGTCACTCATGCTACAAGGGTATGTGTAGATGAGGCAAGAGGAAGCTTGGAAAGAGATAAGGTACAACTTCTCCATGGAAATATATCCCAATATGACATTTGAGGCTCGACAGTCCAGAATCACAGGAACTGTTAGCAATAGTCGACTCACTATGGCCCAGGAGATGTAGACTTCAGCTTATTCCTCAAGTCCACTCTATGAGCTAATGCTGCTTACAGAGATTTTCTCAGGCCTTCGAGTAATATTACAGTTATTTCTAAAACTCACTTGAGATGGCCCATTGCAAAACAGACTGTTACTATCTGAGGATCAATTCTTCATTTCCTGGAGATTACTTAATCTTCTCAGTGAGATTTCCTAGTTCCAGTATCTTTGGCTGCCTAAGTAAAGTAGCCAAAGGAACATCAAGCAAGCTAATCAGAGCAAAGGATGCCTCATTTATGCTCATCAGAAAAATAAATACCAACATCAGGACCCTCTGCAAGGAAACACAAATCATGCTTGTTTCTAATCTTGACCAAAAATAAAATTCCCCTTTCTCTCACTTGTAACTTTCAAACAAAAGATTTCTAGCTACTCTACAGTAATACAGTAAATTTTTGTAATTTTATGAGAGCATTGATTCTGCATGCCATATAATCTATACAATAATATTGCTTTTCCAATGCATTAGGTCAAACGCAAGGATGATCCTACCTGTTTTGGCTACCAATGGCTGTCAGAAGAAAACGAAGATGCATACCACACTGCTCATCATATATTCTCCCTAAGCAAGAGCTATGTGTACCTTGAGCCCATTGCTCATTCACTGCCCTGTGGTCAAACTAATAACCTCCAGGCACATTATATTCTGAATGGACAAGTCCTGAAGGACATGAAGGAGCTCGTCTTCTATTACCTGGTGAGGAGGGAGACTCAACTTTAGACAAAAGCTCTCTGTGGGGCAAGAAATTATAAAATACTTCAGACATCATCACTTATCCACATTCCCTTTGAAAGTTTGACTTCTCTTGGGCTCATTATTGCCAGCAGGAGCTCTAAATAAACACACAAAATAGAGGGCCAGACTTGGGGTGAAACCTCTGTCAAGCAAACTGAATGCCTTTTTATATCCTTTTATGCAGATTATGGCCAAGGGAGGCATTGTCCGAACTGGAACTCATACACTGCCAGTAGAAGATGGAGACAGTGAGTGTTCCCATCAGCTCCACATTTCTATCCCACCCGGACACATTCAGCCCCAGAGTGAAGAAATACAAGGAATCGTTTCAAAATGAGAGAATCCCCATTTCACCCAAATAAAGGGGAAGTTGATGGGAGTGTAGGTTGGGAAGGAGTACTAATATTTCTTTTTTTTTTCAGTCATTATCAAATATTTTCTTTTTTTCTTCAAGTTATTTGAAATGTTCCTGTTGTTTTTTAATCTATACTGCTTCCAAATCTTAAGTCATATGCGCTTTCTTAAAATGAAAGCGATTTAAGATTTTTTTCAGAGAACCCAGAGAAGGAAAAGTAAAATTTGGGAATGATTTTGATGGACCACATAGCTTTCTGGTCTTTTTTCTCTCCTTTGAATATAGTTTGGCTTACGAAGAATTAAGTGTTTATGCCATTGAATTGGTTATCTTTATGGATATGGAACAATATAAAGCTATGATAATTTCATCTAGTCAAATACAATCTAAAAGACACCTTATTAGAAAACTGTCAATGAGCTACTTTTTTATTGTTCCTTGATAGTAACACAGAAGTGCCACAATAGTCTTTTTAAAGCTTAACGCAATCACTAAAAACTTTATGTAGGCATTAAAACTAGCTCAATAGGTTGGATGAAAAACTTACAGAACAGTGAGTCTAAGTCAGTGGTGGTGGAACAATTCAGAGAAGAATGATGAGACTGTGCACACAACTTGAAGAATGTAATCATTGTCACAGACTTCTACACAGAAATTGTTGAAATGGAATGTGGCTGTGTGTCTTTCCACCAGAATAAGCATAAATAAGTAGACTACTTCTCAAAGAGTTTAATCATCTTTTTTGGAAGAAAAGAAGAATAGAACATTGGTTAATCAAGGTTAGAGAAGACATAAGCATAAATGTGAGTACGTTATTACACGTCACACTTTCAGGTTTCTTGTTTTGGGTTTTGGTTTTTTCCCTTCTCCAATGGAAGACCCTGATTGGTGCTCATGGTTAACATTCCACCTGAAAAGTTGGTAGTTCAAAGTCACCCAGCATTCCCTCAAAAGACAGGCTCAGTCATTTGTTCCTGAAAGTTCACAGCCCTAAAAATCCTATGGAAGCAGTTCGCCTCTGCACACATGGGATTGCCCTGTGTCAGAATCAACTCAACAGCAACTAGGTCTGACATGGTAGCCAAGCACATGTCTCCACAACCTTAAATAGCATCAGCTAAAGCTTAAAGTGGGAGAGCACTCTGTAAACAAGGAGTGAAGAGACTGCTTAGAGGTAGTCATTCATTTATGACGTCTACTGTTTACTTCCTATTGCAGCAACAAGCAGGAACTGTCATTAATCAGACAAGGCTTCTGAAATGGCTTTGTGCAAGAGGCTCACTTCAGTTCAGTGCTGGGGAGATGTCTAACCCATGCTCTCGTTCTCTCTGCTCCAGTGAACGGCCAGTTTTCTGTGTCAGTCCCTGTGGAGTCAGACATTGCTCCCATCGCTCGATTGCTTCTCTATACCATTTTACCTAACGGAGAAGTGGTTGGCGATTCCGCATCATACGAGGTTGAAAATTGCCTGGCCAACAAGGTGTGTGCTTTACATCATAACATTTTCAACACTTAAAACTCGGCGTTCTTATTGGCATCTATTATTTTGTATGTGTAAGCATTGAGACCAAAGGGTTCCATGAATTCCCCAGATTCACTCAGCAAAATAATGACAGAATCACCATGAGAATCCATGTCACTTGACTCCGAATGCCAAATCTTCATGGAGGCAGCATGATCTTTCATCATATTCCAGCTCAGAGTGCCTGGTTTCCTTCTGTGAAGAAATGTTGGGGAATATATAAGCAAGCTTTTAAGACTACTCGATAGAAAGCCAATAGGAAGATACAAGAGCATCTAGAACCATTTATAGTCATATTCTATCTGCAGCGAGGGAGCATCTCACCATATATTATAGTAAAAAAAGTAGAGATCTCATATTCATAATTTATAACTATACTTCTCACCTGATTGATGAGCTTCAGAGTTAAGTTTTGCATGTGGCTTGCTCGTTAAGCTTCAAAACAAAACCAAAAAACCCTCACTGCTATTGAGTCAATGATGACTCATATCAACCCTCTAGAGTAAGGTAGAACTGCCCCCTCTGGGATCCCAAGATCATTAGGGTGGAAATTCTGCCTTTCTTCCATGCATCTGCAGGTGGTTTCAAACTGCTGACCTTGTAGCAGCCCAATGCCTAACCACTAAGACACCAGGGCTCCTTCTTGAAGTCTAGATCAATGGAAAGGGCGAGAGCATCTCAAGACTACAGTGGTGTCAACCAGCACAAAATCAAAGAAAGGCATGCATTCACATGCATCACTCAGAATTCGAGGGTGCATACATTGTTAAATAAGGAAATGTGGTGGGATTTTTGTTTGGTTGGTTCAACCATTCTCCCCAATTGCACAGGTGGATTTGAGCTTCCACCCAGCACAAAGCCTTCCGGCCTCCCACACTCAGTTGCGAGTAGCGGCCTCTCCTCAGTCCCTCTGTGCCCTCCGTGCGGTGGACCAAAGTGTGCTACTCCTGAAGCCCGAGGCTGAACTCTCCCCATCCACGGTAAGTGCTTGTCAATCTCGGGTTTCAAAATAGGGCCATGCGTGGGGCTCCGAAAAAGAATAGGAGGAGTCCTCCAAAATTTCATGGAAAAGTGGAATTAAGAGGCAACTGCGTTTTTCCACAGCATTTTTGAAGCCCCTTCATACCTATATCACTACATCTGAAAGTCAAACCAGTTGCCGCAGAGTTGACTTGGCGTCATGGTAACCCACGGTGCATCCAAGTAGAACGTCTGTCTGCAGGGTTTGCAAGGCTGTGACCTTCCAGAGCAGACCATCGGGTCTTTCTTCCAAGATACCTATGGATGGCTTCAAACTACCAACCTTTATGGCTGGTCATAGAGCACTTGCTCCCCCAAGACATATCTGATTTAAAATATAAACACTACCCGTCCTGTCTGTTCCTACTCATGGTATTTTCTCAGCTGCGGTGTCTGTGGAAGCACACTCCCAAACCATGGCACCACTAAGTGGATCCAAAGCACCAGCTTTTAGATGCCCGTAGGAACAGAAACCATTTTGCACCACTAGGCAAGTCCTGCATGGGATAGCCCACTGCCATCACGTAAAGTCCAACTCATAGGGACCGTCGAGAAAAGTGTAGAGCTGCTCTTTAGGATTTCTGAAACTGCAAATCTTTCTAGGAGCAATCAGTCTTGTCTTTCTCTTTCAGAGTGGGGGTGGGGGCTTGTTGATGTTGCTATTGTTTTTCCTTTTTAAATCATTTTATTGGGGGCTCATACAACTCTTATCACAATCCATCCATCAATTGAATCAGACCTGTTTATCCCTATGTTGCCCTCATTCTCTTCTAGACATCTACTTTCTATTGAGCCCTCGGCACCAGCTCTTTTTTTTCTCCTCCCCCACCCCCGACCCCGACTAGTGGTTTTGAACCACCAACCTTGCAGTTAGCAGCCCAGTGCTTAACCAAGAGCACCACCAGGGCTCCTTTTGTGTAAGATAAACTCTCCAAAACCAAACACACTGCCATCAAGTTGATGTTGACTCATAACAATGCTGTAGGACAGGTTGGAACTGCCCCTGGGCATTTTCATAATTGTGAAACTTTACAGGAGTATGAAGCCCCCTCTTCCACCCACAGAGCAGCTGTAGGCCGCACACTTCGGACCTTCCTACTAGCAGCCCAGTGCATAACCACTATGACATCAGGGCTCCTAGGATCTGTTAATATCATATCTACTTAGGCATTGATACTTTTTAGCTTTTTCATATGTACTTTTTTCTATGAGGTGTATGTGAAACGTGCCTTATATGCTAGATACAATATACAGGAGGGAAAGTCAAAAAGTATTGCTATAAAACCTTAGCAAACTTGATTAAATCACAATATTAAAATGGGAAGCTGTTGGTCCCCAACAGAGCCAACACCTGGGTCTATGCACTTCCGAAGACAGTGCTTCGTTTCGAAGCCACCCCGAAAATATTCGGTAGTCTTACACTTACATGAAAGTGAATCACATTTCTTTGACACATTTTTGAGTTTGAGGAGCAAAGCAAATCTGAAGGGTGAGATCAAAATTGTAGAGTGAATAGGATGAGATTTCCCAAAGAAATTCTCAGGACAGCCTCCCTACCCGCAAGGAATGAGCAAGTTCATTGTCTTCCTGGGAAAAACAATTCCTCAGCACAATGTCCCTGTTGCTCTTTTTCTCTCATCAATGAAATTTTCCATTTTCTTAAAACGTCTTCATTACAAGCCCCTCGTGATTGTCCTGTGTCATTCAAAAAACTCTATCAAGATTACCATTTTGGGATCCCCAAAAAACAGTCGTCACCACCTTCTGATTTGAGCTCTCCTCCTTGAATTCACCTGGCCCAACAGATCCCCTCAGAAGGGATCTGTTTTGGTCCCACCACTATTTTGATTGGACCTTTATTTCAGGTCCCCTTCAGAGATGGAGGTAAGCATATTCCTGAGAGTGTGTCACTCGTGGATCAAAGAAGCATATTGGAACACATTTTGTTTGGGGAAAGCCCATGCATGTGTGAATGGAGCCCTGCTAGCATAACTTCTTTACTTACTCTCGTGTGGTGTTTGAACAATACCGATATTCATAAGGTTTTCAATGGCCAATTTTTTCAGTCCATTGCTAGGTTCATCTTCCTAGTTTTGTTTTGTTTTTGTCTGTGAGCTCCAAGGAAAGCTGCCCACATGGGTACCCTTGCTGGTCTTTGAAATACCGGTGGCATAGGTTAGAGCATCACAACATCTGGCGAGGCACCAGATGTCTATAACAAACTTATAGACAAGTAGTGGGTCTCAGATATAGAAGACCTCAAGCTCTCACTGAATAAAGTTTTATTCCATTCTACTATGAGTCAGAAATCTCAAAATTAGTATGATCCTGGAATACTGAAATGGAATATTTTCTCCCTAAAATTATTTAATATCTTTAAATGGAAACACTATTTGGAGAAAATTATCCATAATGTCTCTAAATTATCCTAGTAATAAGAACACACACACAATGAAAGTGTTTATTCTTGTTCTTTTCTCCTTGCATTTTAAAAAAATCCATTCATTTTTCCTTTTGGCCCTTTGACTTTGTAAAGATTTATAACCTGCTACCAGTTAAGGACCTCACTGGCTTCCCCGAGGGTTTGAACCAGGAGGAAGATGACATAGATTGTGTCCAACGTCAAAGCGTCTATATTGATGGAGTCATGTATTCGCCAGTAGCAAACCCAAATGCAAAAGATATGTACAGCTTTCTACAGGTAAGTTCCTATATTACAGGTGGTAAGTTCTTCATGTTAGTAAAAAATTGGAAATATTGGAAAGTATTCATTAGTTTAACGTCTTCATAGCATAATTGCGAGTACAGGGGCCTAAAGAAGTCAAGTGACTATTCCAAGGTTACTAATAGCGACAGAGCCAAAGCTGGAAATGTTTGCTATTAAAATTTTTTATATATTGAAATTGCTTTGTGATATCAAAAAAAAACTGACGATGCCAACAGTTTAAAGAACAAAATGAAATGTCCCTTTGAGTAATATGATCACGGAGAGTTTAATAGAGAAGCTGTGGCAGCTGTACCAGGAGCACAGCCGGTAATGCCGTGTCGGCGGTGGCAGGTGCAGGAGACCAGTGGCCCTATGCCCTCACTGAGTCCCACCTGGCCCACATTCCCCATGCTCTCCAGCCACTCTTGATCGCGGCTGCGCCTGGCCTCGAATCCCTTCACCTGGCACCAACCTCGCTGCCCCTGCCTCCCAAGATGGCTCTGAAGAGAATCCACAAGGAATTGAATAACCTGGCACAGGCTCCCCCTGCAGGTCATGTTGGGATACTTTCTTTCATTGGCAAGCTGCAGTGATGGAGCCAAGAGACAGGCCCGGCAGGGGGGAGTCTTTTCTCGTGACAATTCATTTCCCCACAGATTGCCACCTAAGGTTGCGTTTCCGACAGGAATTTGCCATCCAAATCGTAAGAGTAAAGGCAGCATTTGTCCGGGCACAGTGGTCTCTGGCACTATTTCTAACGTACTCTTGTCCATCTGTTGTCTCTTGTGTGATCCAATCCAGGCGATCCTTTAGTGCCTGAGATTGCTCGGATCTACAAGACAGACGAGAAAGGTATAAGAGGATAGCGTGGGAATGGACTCAGAGGTATGCGATATAATGAAAGAAATCATTGGATCGTGTCTACAAAGGATGATAGGGGAACTCTGAAAGGGACACCCTTTTGATTTCCATTTGACTACTGTCTCTGAGCCCACCCCTTGTCCCCGGTACTCAGGTTTACCTGGTTCACTTGATACAGCAGCGCTGCATGTTGTGTGTACTTGGGACAACAAACTAGAGATATTTTACTCCTGTACATAGCTAAAAGCTCTTATTTTCCTTATGTTTTGAACTGCTTAAGCCTATCTGGATGTTAGGGTGAAAACATAGTTGATGGAAATACTTGTGAATATTTAAAGACTCAGTCACTTGTACATTCAAGAATGATTAATCTGTAATAAAAAGATTACCACAGTCATTACATTAAAAATAAGTTTAATATAAAACTAAGAGGGTTATGTTTGTTAAACTCAGTGAAAAGAGGTATGTGTCTATATATGTTTTATAATGTTTATGTACTGATTGGGTAATAATTTCCTTTACAGGCTATGGGTTTAAAGGTGTTCACTAACACAAAGATTCATAAACCAAAAGTATGCTCAGAGCCTAAACAGTTTGAAATGAGGACATCTCAGAGACTATACGCTGCTCCAGGTAAAGTAATAAAAATAATGAAAAACGAATTACCTAATATTAAACCAAGTAAAATATTTTCTAATTAAATGTGGTATGATGGACAAAGAAGGATTGGTCTTTCAAATATATTAAGGATCTCTGGTTAATTCATTGCAATAGAAGCCCAGTTCTTCTGATTGTGTCAAGGACACCCACATGTGCATATACAAAGCTGGAGAAAATGCAAAGCAGATAGTACGATGTGCTATAAGAAATACATAGATCACAATTTTTTTAATAAATGAATTCTGATGTGGGTAGCAGGAAACTCATTGAAAAAGACACTGCATTTGATCAATGGAAATGCAGAGTGGAAGTAGAAAAGTGAACAGACCCTTTCCAGGCACAAGATCAGAGGGAGCAGGAATGTTCACAGGGCAGCAGCACACGCTTGCCAATCAAGTCGAAAGAAGCTCTTCAACTTCCCATCGTATGTACACTTTGAGACCCTTCAAGTTATACCACAAGCCCATCAGTAAACATATCTGTCCCATGGCTTGACAACATGAAAATTATTTTTGGCAGAGCCCATGCTTAATAACAGTGAACAGAGAAGTTTGTATCCATCAGTGATTAAAATGTCCATAGCAATAGAGAGGAAGAAGCAACTTCAGGTATGGGAAATATCATAATGAAGAGCGAACAAAGCTAAGCTGTTTGGGGCAAGAGGTAAAGGGGGAGGTCATTCTGGACGTTTTGCCTACGAATACAAATATAGTCATAAGCAAGTAGATAATGAAGGCCAAATGTACCACTAGTCTTCATTCAGAATATTAAATCGATACTATTTTATAGACAATACAAAACTGAACTTACTAAGGTAATTTGAGAAAGTAAACCTTTTTTAAAAAAATCATTAAATTTAATGAATGGGGAAAAAGAGAAAAAGCACCCTACAAGGAGAAGAAAATTAAAATACATTCTTGCGGGAGTTGACCACTTTTGACACAAATAAAAAGCTACAGTCCAGAAATGGTGGAAAGCACTAGGCCTGACAGTGAAAATTAGATTGATAGTGAAGGGAAGGGGGGGGAGACATGATGATCAAGAAAGGAAAATGGGTTGATTGCAGAAGAATTCTAAGAGAGAATGAAGCCAAAATATGGTGCAGCATGATTAAAAAATAACTGTCCGGAGGAATTGAGTACGGCTGCCGTGATGACTGGTATTAAATAGTGAATGGCCTCCTTAGATATGTGAGGCTTCATTTACTGCGAATACGGACAGCAAACTGAACATCTCTCCCGTTAGGAAGTTTCAAGTAAAAGAGGCAATTGGAAGTTGAATTCTGAAGAGAACAAAGGATGTGAGAATTGAGCTGAGTGTACAATTCCCAGACGAGGGACCACAGAAGAAAACTGGTTAAAGGAGGTAGAGGGAAAGCATTATGGAAACATGGCCATCTAGCAAATGTTTTGTAAGTTAGTTCTTAAAAACAGAAGGCAGTGAGTGGTGGGAGATAGTCATAAAGACATTAATATGAGTTTTCAGCCAATTGTTTAAACACAGCTATAATGTAAAAATTAATGATATTAAAATTATAAGTAGTTAGATATTAAAAGCAAAGGTAATACTAATCCAAAACTCTTCACTTCCTAATTACAACATTTTCCTATCAGCTGTGCCCTTCAGATTATGTATTACTATCCTATATATCTCTGTATGGTGAAAATACTATATAATTGCAGGCTGCTGTGCATTTCTTCCAACCCTATATTCTGTAATATATCAGTAGCTTGAAATAGGCTGTTATAGAAGTATTTACATCATGAAATCAGCAAATGTTTTATTTCGAGCTTTGGATTCCTGTTGATTTCTATACTTCTAAAAATCAGTAAATATTAACATGCATTAAATGAAATACATTGTGTCTGTAGTTATTAATTATATTGTGAATAGCATGCACACACACACAAAAATGAGGAGATACTCCTCCCCAAATTCAAAAATGATAAATCGATTCAGCAAAGTCACCACTCACTCCATTGACAAATGAAGAAACTCTGGTATGTATCTTCATTGTTTCGCTTTCTTCTTACACATTAATGGAAATAAAAGCTTCAGCTTGAATCATACATTCAGAAAATGTTAATGTGGTAAACATTTTATTACATGCATACTTAAGCACAATCAGCCAATATTCATTTTGGAAAGATACTTACTGTCAGTGATGTAAGGTATTTCTCTGATGAACCGGGTAGTAATCAAACATTTATTTGTAGCCTGGTTTTGTCAAATCGTGGTTGAATTGCAATCAGTTGGCTGCAGATGAAAGTGTTTGTCCGAAATCAAGAACAGCATCCAATGCAAATCAACCAGCTATATGGAAGTTACTAAAAAGATTATGTATTTTATCTTATGTCTACCACATATGCTATAAATCCTCTATAGCAATAATATTTATAGTAAAAGCAAATATCAATGCATAGATTATATATATGCAGGAAGTGGTCGTTAAACCTTTACCAGCACTCCATTACCAAAAGGTGCTCTTCAGACAGAATATGGAAGCGAGTCTGTTTTTCAATCTTGAATTCTTTCACTCTGGTCAGATATTATCCAAAGTTCCTGTCATGTGTCTGTGCTCCAACAGAGAACGACACAAACTCAAAAGTTGATTCCTGTCTGCCTTCCTAGCCCAGGCGGTAGCACTGTCTCCATAGCACTATGTGCAGTAACCATGCGGGACCCTTTCTTCCCGCAAGAACCTTCCTGCCTCTGGGTCTGGATACTCCCTTCTGTGATTGTCCAACCCTTTGCCCTCTCCTACCTTGGTCTGCTGCTTCAGCTAAAATAGCTCCTCAGAGAAGCTTTTCCTGACCTCCTTAGCCAACCGTCCTCTCCTCCTGGCTCCTCTCTCTTGCATCGCCCCATTTATGCCTTTTGTAGCCCTTATGACCAACTCTAATTTGAATTTTCTTTATATGATTTTCCCCCTGCCTTCTTCCTCATTTGCCATAGAAGGTATCTATGAAATGCGAGGGAGCCAAAACTTTATGGACATGGAAGAGGCCTCATCAGTTTCAGAGTCGTACAAAGAAACCGTGCGAACGTATTTCCCTGAGACATGGATCTGGCAGTTGGTGGTGGTAAAGTAAGTACTTTCTATCACACCAGGGGGCTTCAAAAAGTTCCTGGGAAAACGGAATTGAAAAGGAATAGAACTTTTCCATGAACTTTTTGGAACCTCCTCATGTAAGATTCAATGATAGAAACCCTCACACTTTTCAATTCTTACCTAATTCTTCAGTATCCAAGTACTTTTATTAAATACTTACTGTTCTCAGCAAAGGTTTAACAAAAATTCTTCTGTTAATTAATCTAATTGTATCAGAGCTAAGAAATTTCACACAAATGAAGATATTAAGTCTTCCCAAAAATTATATATGGATTAAATATAACCACGCACTACATGGATTAACACTGATAAGAAGCTATCTGTTACCAGCAATTTGAAGTTAACTGCAATATGTGAGGCTAGCTACACACAGTTGTAGTAGAACTGAACATTGTAAATATATCCTAGGTGAAACAGTATTTTAAATAATTTTAAAACAATCTCAAATTAGAGATTTGGTGTGTAACTACTTTGTCTATTGTAGATTATAAATACAACTCCATATCTATAAGAGATTCTGGTATAGACTAGAACTTAAAAGAGTTAGAATAAAAAGACATATTTCTCAATCTTAATTCTTAATTATTCTCTCCACTATTCATACTTTTTCTAAGTCAGTGGTTCTCAACCTTCCTAATGCTGTGACCCTTTAATATTGTTCCTCATGTTGTGTTGACCCCCCAACCATAAAATTATTTTCGTTCCTACTTCATCACTGTCATTTTGCTACTTTTATGAATCGGGTGACCCCCCAAAGGGGTCTTGACCCACAGGTTGAGAACCACTGTTCTAAATGGATCCAAGACATGGCAGTAGCATCATCTGTTGTTGTTCTTTCCTAGAGTAATGGCTAGTTACTTGCCTGCTTACTGTTCTTCTCATTGTCATCCTCCCCAGTCCATCGGGTGTGGCTGACGTGGATGTAACAGTCCCTGATACCATCACCGAGTGGAAGGCCGGGGCCCTCTGCCTGTCCAATGACACTGGCCTTGGTCTCTCTCCTTCCGCCACTCTCCAAGCCTTCCAGCCTTTCTTTGTGGACCTCACGATGCCCTACTCTGTGGTCCGTGGAGAGGCCTTCACACTCAAGGCCACTGTCTTAAACTACCTGTCCAAATGCATCCGGGTAAGGACCTCTTTCCCAAATTGAACATAAGCAACAACTCATCTAACAAGCACATTCCCAGTGAAACGGACAAGCTCCTGTGTACAGATGTGTTTACCAGAAGAATACTGCCAGAGAAGTATTTATAGGCGATATAACTAACCTACAGTTAATGATATCTCCCAACTACCAGCTTGCAGCTTAAAACAAGTTTCCAATCTTTGTTCTTTATGGAGTTTATATATGATGAGGGCTTATAATGTGGGCATAAAATACTAGGACTCCTCATTCCCATGTCTAAGATTCTCCAAGGTTTGAACCTCTACATTTCATATACTTAATTGTTCATATAACATTCATTATATGAAACTTTATTTAGAATTTTTGTTTCAATGCAAAACTGGTGTCCATCTCATGTACTAGGAGAGTTGAGGACACAGCAAATCCCAGCCCAAGAATGGACAGCTGCCACAGGCAACATGCCACAACTACCTTCCCTCTCCTCTGGGCCCAGCATATGAGAGCAAGTTACTCCAAAACACCATGAGTTGGGTATCAGATCCGTTTATAAAGTACTTGGTCTTCACTTACATCCTCGTCAATATGAGACCATGAAAACGGATTGAATCCTTCCACATGGTTCATTTCCAGCCTGGGTCCCCCCCCCCCAGTCTTCTCCCTGATTTACTTTTCTCTCTGTCTCTCATGGGGTTTCAGGTCCAGCTGCATCTGGAAGACTCTCCCAAATTCCTAGCTGTCCCGGTGGAGAAGGAGCAAACATCTCACTGCATCTGTGCAAATGGGCGTCAGACTGTGTCCTGGGAAGTAACACCGAAGGCATTAGGTGAGGGTCGTGCCCCTAGGGACAGTTCTCTGCTCCAGGATGACACAACTCGGCAGTAGCTGGATGTCGGGTGCTGCTCACCCTTAGGCAGAGAACCCACAGAGTAGGATATTCTGTTTGCCTTCCATGCTAGGGTGTCTCAAGGGCCAACCCCACCTCGCTTGCCTCCGCCTCGACATTGGAGTCTCAGAATCATTATCCTCTCATTTATGCTGTTTCCATTCCAGATCCTATGGGTTTATAGAGGGGGAAAATCATTGTATAAGGGCTTCTCTTTCCTGGAAAGGCTAAAGACTGATATAAAATGTTTGGCATGACTCCTAGTACCGAAAGGTGTTGACTGTCCCACTACGGTTACCTCTGTGGGCCAGACCATCGCTGGGACCAGATTTACTTTAGTGCCATCTGTCTCCCCTCCATGGATGATATCCTAAGGATCACAAAAACCACTCCTGGGCCCTGACCTCTTCTTTGTTGTAATCCTCACAAATGATGAATGATGGTCATAAATTTTCAGTTTTTTCTAACATAAAAAATAAGAAAAAATGGTTACAGAGCATTGAGCATTACATATAAATAGTAAAGGTTGGGGTCATGTAGTAAGAGGGAGACGGTGTTCATCTCTGTCGGGCCTTCCCACTCACCCTCTCCACTCCCACCCCGCCCCCAGGGAATATGAATTTCACTGTGAGCGCCGAGGCACTGGATTCTCAAGAGCTGTGTGGGTCTGAGAAGACTATAGTTCCCAAGGAGGGAAAGAAAGACACAGTCGTCAAGCCCCTGCTGGTTGAAGTAAGTCTGCCCAATTGTTAGCTCAGACTTGAATTTTTTTTTAAAAATTAAAGTTAAAATTAAAAACCCCAATGGGTTACAAATTTTAAGTAAGGCATAAGTTTAAATCATTTGGTTGTAGGATATTTTACATGACAGTATTCTTACTGGATCTCTCCCTTTTAATTTTCTATAGCCTTTCTTATCTAGCAACTGATCTCCTTCCTATTGCTTATGCTGATAGAATTTGTCCATACAAGAGATTTGAAAATTCTTCTCCTCACTAGCAAGAAAACTATGGATCCTCCTCTATTAGGGGGAAAACCAAATTTGACTTTCATTTCTCTGACATCAAACCCTAAGAATCAGTTCAGTCGATCTCAAATCATTTCGTTCCCCTTCTGTTCCCCAGCTGTGCAGGCAGCTCCTATTTTCTGATCCTAACACCCAGAGCCAGGTCAGAGCTCATCCGTTACAGGGCACAGTCCTCCAGACTGCTAGGTTTGCCAGGACTTCTTATGTCACATGCAGGCTGGAGAGCCCCGTCAACACCCTCACTTATGACCTCCTAACTACGAATTCCGGGGCTTTCCACTACCTCTTTTGGATGGCAACTATAAAGTTGGGGTGAACGGGGCATCCCTCACTGCTGGCCTGCTGGCTCCCACTACTCCCTAGGGCTCAATAATTCACAAGGATTACTCACAAAACTCAAGAAAGTGCTAGCTACATTCACAAACTTTAATCATGGCACAAAGAGTACCAGTAAAGAGATGCATAGGGTTCCCAGTGCTCCCATGTGCTCAGAAGGTACGTGCTGCCCTCCTTTGTGCCTTGATGACTTTCACCAACCAGGAAATCCAAGGGACTTCTGGATTCAGAACTTCAGTAGAGCCTAGATGATAAAAATCATGATCTCTCTCTCCTCCTGAGGTTAACGGAGAGTAGGTAGCAGTCTTGTCTAGCCCCGACCCAAAAGTCATCTCATTAGCATACATCCTCAGTCACTAGTCCTGAGGCCTCCAAACCAAGCCACGCTCCCTGTCGTTGAGTCAATGCCCCTATTGGACAGGCAAAACTGCTCCTGTAAGTTTCTGAGACTGTAACTTCTTTGTTTTTTAATAGTTTTATTGGCACGTTATCCACATATCATACAATTCAATAGTTCAATCATATCAAGGAGAGCTGTACAATCTTTACCAAAATCAATTTTAGAACATTTCTTCTTCCTTGTAATCGCTGACCTGTGGCTACCATGTGTGAAAGAGGAAGAGTTTTTGCTTAGAGAACGTTGAGTTTATTGTAATAGTGGTGGAACAATTTGGAGAGGGATATCAATAATGCTTGTACAACACGAAGAGTATAATCAATGGCTCCGAATTATACATATAGAAGTTGTCGAATTGGAGAATGTTTTGTTGTGTATGTTCTACCAAAACTGGAAAAACTTACATGAATAACAATGACTGTAACTTTTTTATATAAACCATGTATTTTTTTTTACCTGAGACAACTTAAAAATGGATGAAAAAGGAAAGCAAATGATGATAAGATGTTGATTTTGAATATTTATGACATCATTCACAGGCCATGTTGGCCAAGCATTTAATTACCTCACCACTAATGTGATGGCTAGACCTGCTTCACCCCGGTGAGGTGTGCGATATTAGCTGGCATTGACAACCCTGTGGGCCTTATACAGTGCTTCCCAGATCCCTCCTGCCCCCCAAAAAAGACCTCCAAACTCACTACTAGCAAGTCAAATCTGACTCATAGCAACTCTATAGGACAGGGTAGAACTGCCCGTGTGGGTTTTTGAGATTGTAGTTAATTTTTGTGTTTTTTTTAAATTATTTTATTGGGGGCTCATACAACTCTTATCACAATCCATACATACATACATTGTGTCAAGCACATTTGCACGTTTGTTGCCAAGAGATTGTAGTTCTTGATAGTAGTAGAAAGCTCCCTCTTTCTCCTGAGGAGCACCCTGGCGGCTTCCATGTGCTGACTTTGAGATTAGTAGCCCAATGTGTAACCACATGCTATCAAGTCTCTCCACCCCTACCCTAACCCTAGACTAATGTTCTCACCGCCATAAATGCAAATGACCATTTGCATTTTATTTTTTTAAATATAAGGGAGCCTAAGCCAGGGGTGGGGAAAAAATGACTGTAATTCTTTATAGGAGGAGAAAGCCTTGTCTTTCCCTTGGAGCAACTAGTGGTTTTGAACTAAAGACCTTGCAGATCACAGACCAACGCATATCCATTATGCCACTAGGGCTCCTGTAGATAACAAAGGCACCTCCGTTACTCAGGAAATTCCAAGTGTAGGCTTATCACTCAGGAGTCAAGAACAAAATCCAAATGACTTCACATCAATTGTTTAGCCCACACCTGTCAGCACACATGTCCTAAATGCTCAGTCCATTCTTACCTCTACCTTTTCTTCTTCTCCCCCAAGCCTGAAGGAATCAAGATGGAAACAACATTCAACACCCTGCTTTGTCCATCAGGTAAGATTAAGCCATAAGTCAAATAACAAGACTGAAATTTGTATAGCATTTCAAGCTTAGTGAACTTTCATGTGAGGAGACTTCAAAAGGTTCATAGGAAAGTTCTATTATCCTTTATTCCATTTTTCCACAAACATTTGAAGCCCTCCTCATATACTGCTTCTATTCTTTCCTTGAAGCGTCATCAGTGCGTTTATCAAATGAAAAAATTGGGTGTTAATGAAACAAGAAACTTAATTAGAAGAATATCTTTCGCCCACACATCCTGTCACCACCCATTTGTCAATGTGTAGTACTATGGTGCCTTGAATGTCGCAGTGATGCTAGAAGCCAACAGGTCCACCCTTGTGGACAATTGTAGCAAAGCTTCCAGACTAAGAGAATCTATAAGGAAAGGCTTGGTGTTCTACTTCCCGAAAGGAGCCAAGGCAAACCCTCGTATCCTGTATGACTCTAAGCAGCACACCGAAGATTTCTTTCTGTGGCCGTTCAAAGCCTGCTTCTTCTAGGGATCTCACTAGGTTCAGGTCCTCCTCAGACGTTGCATTTTCTTTCTCTTGCTTTTTTGGTAGTAACTGTTGATGTGGGTTGTTTGGTGGAGCTCGGCGCCATGTTCTTGGGAGTCCAGCAGCCCTGTGCTTGCTTTCTCCGAGGGGGTACTAGGAGTGACTCGAAGGGCTACCTGAAGCTACCTGCGCTGCACGTTCAGGCTGCGTCTATCTCCCCGGGGCTGACTCTCTCCCTAGACAACTGGAGTTATCTATTTGGAGGGCGATGTGGGTGGCTCCTTCAGGCAGGGTGGGCTTGGCAATCTGGGTAGCAAGGGTGGTGTTGCTCAGACCGATGGCCCACCGTGGGGGGCCAGCACTCATGGGCCGTAGCAGGGGAGGGAGCTATTCAACGGACCTGTACACAGACCAGTCACAGGCTCTGATCATTAGCAGTAGTGCCAGGTCTGTCACAAGCAGCAAGGGTGGCACTGGGCAAGCCGATCAGCTTAGGCTGACCAGTGTTCATGGGAACCTGGGCACGGAGGCTTATGGGGGATACTTATTTAGTTGGTAAATTGGTGGAGAACTGGTATGGTCGAGGTGCAGGAAGCAGGTTGTAGATGTTTTGGTGGTTGAGGTGCATGATGGGTATGTTAAATCTACTGGGGTCCCCTATCACCCCTGTAAATGGTGAAAGGGAGAGTGCAGACCTTAAATTATTTGTGTTTAAAACAGAAGGCCCCTTTATACTAGGTTGCTACACATCTCTGAATTCTCCTCCCCTTACATACAATCCCAAAGTAAATAGAGATTATTGTTGTGGGTGGGCCTGTGAGGCGGGCCTTCAGTTCAGAAGGTGTTCAGAATAGGGTCAATGGGACCCCATGTTAGCTGGCTACCTTTCCAGGGGTGGAGAAGGTCGCTGAGTAACCCTGACGTGACGTGATGTGTCTCAATTCCCATGGCAGAGAAAGGAGCCCTGTGTTTTCCTTCTCAGAAGGTAATACAAATAGAAGTAACAACTATCGGGAGCTAGTTTTGCCCCCTGGAGGCCGGCTCTCTCCCTAGAACTCTGAGATTGTACTTGGTGGATTTAGAGGAGGCTGTGTGTTGCTGACGTGAAGGGAACAGGTTTCAGAGGTTATTCTGGTTGGGGTAAAGAAGTAGTGTAGTGAATCCCCTATAGTCCCTTGCTGACCCAGTGTATTATTATATAGGGCAGTGTTTGGTGTGTGATGTTTTCCTGCCTTGTGGTCTTGTAGGGTGTCAGAGAGGGGGTGAGCAACAAGCGAGGGGGATGTTTTGGTGTCTGGTACAGCTACAAGAGCTGTCTTCTTGTGGGTGAGTTAGTTAACCTGAGAGAATGTGCCTCTGTAAAGCAGGTCAGAGAGGATGGGGACGGGGTTGGTGGGGAGGGCCAACTGGGGGTGGGGGCATGGGGGTCTATTCCTATTGCCTAAGTAGCCAGGGTGTAGTGTAGCAATGTCTACTCAACAGGTGAGATTTTTAGTGGAAGGCTGGTTTCACTGACTTACTCTGTGTGGTCTTTTATCGCTCTTCCCAACGCTCTTTGTCAAGCTGAAAACAAATTAAAAAGGAAAAAAAATACAGCATAGTATTAAAGACTAGGCTCTTTGTTGCAGTATTCTTCAAGGCATATTGAATGGACTATTAAAGGAATATTGTAACGACCATCCAGAAGGAGCTCTGCTACCAATCTGGGTTTCTCTCACGGCATGGATGCCAGCAGCCACGGCAGAGTTTAACCTGAGGAGTCAAATTGAACTTTGGTGGGGTGTTGTTAGGTCTTACCAGAGTTGTCTCCTGCTGAGCTCCACGGGCTGTGGCTATCTGTCTCTGCTGCAGGTTAATAGCCTAGAGCAGTGGTTCTCAACCTGTGGGCCGTGACCCCTTTGGGGTTGAACAACCCTTTCGCAGGGGTCGCCAAATTCATACCAGTAACAAAATGACAGTAATGAAGTAGCAACGAAAATAATTTTATGGTTGTGGGGTCACCTCCACATGAGGAACTGTATGAAAGGGTCGTGGCATGAGGAAGGTTGAGAACCACGATCCTAGAGCCTCTCCGATGACAGCAAGGTCGAGTTTAATGACTTATCAGCACCCACGCTGGCAGGCCACTCGTGGAGCTGGGGAGAAGGGGCAAGGTGACGCACCCTGCAGTCGCTCTGTTTCTGGGCAGGGAGAGGAGGTGCCAAGGCGGCAAATGCGTGAGAGGAGAGGGGAGCAGAGAGGGACCTCCAGAGTGAGCACTTGTGGCTGGTTTTCAGAGGCTCTCCGTGGGCCTGAATTGTATGACCACCCTTGGACAGCTGTCTGGGCAAATTGCTGGACGTTATCAGGTCTCGGATCTCTGGGGCAGGAGTGGGGGCGGATGCCAAAGCACTGGACCTCGTAAGGCCTGAGGGGAACACCCACCCACCACCGCCACCGGGCAGGCCTGCTGACCTAGGAGCGCCACCCTGGAATCGATCCGTGGGTGAAATCGCAAGGGGAGATCTGAGCCACAGAGACTAGTTCACTAGAACTTTATTTCAAGCTCCGAGCCTCCCAGTATTGGCCTCCGTACCTCTTAGTTTTCTCATCTAACAACAGGAGCGCTGGGCGGGTGACTCCACCTGGACTCCATCTTCCTTCCCACCCCTTCGTGTGTTTTTAGCTAATGTCAAGTACTTTATTACTTACCAAGTGATATAAAAACACATTCTTATCCACATTCTTATTCTTATATAAATATAAAATAATAATGGATGAGGAGCTGATGCCAGGAGCCCAAGTAGAAAGAAAATATTTTGAAAAAGATGACTACATAGGTACAGGTATGTTTGACACAGTGGATATATGTATGGATTGTGATAAGAGCTGTAAGAGCCCCCAATAAAATAAAAACTTCAAAGACTACTACTAATAATGGAAACAAATAATAAATTTAACTAATACAAAAACTCACTATTATCTGTGCAATTAAAAAAAACAGAGCAGAGTATTAAATACTGGTCACTTTGTTGCAATATTTTCAAGGCATATTGAAGGAATGTCCATGTCCATCCATGAGAAGCTCTGATTGAGTGTTGGAAGGTCTCACCAGAGTTGTTATGTAGGTCATCGGAAGCAAAGGGCTAATAATGTAAGACTATAATCCCCACGATATGTATGAGGGGGATTCACAATGTTCATGAGGAAAGGGGATTAAAGATAAAGGTATTTCTTCCACAATTTTTTTTAACTTCCCTCATATTTGGGGAGGGGAGGGAGGGGTAAGTTTGGGACTGGTAACTCCAAGGTCAGTGGTTCAAAACCACTAGCCACTCTGCAGGAGAAAGACAAAACTCTGCTTCCATAGAGATGTTCAGTCTCAGAAATCCTCTGCAGGTCCACCATGAAGCAGAATCAACGAGATTGGGTGGAGAATCAACATCTCCCCTATGCCTTTAGCAATCACATGTGGAAGCGAATCTGTTTGTGTGGGTGGTCACATAAATGGCATATGACATATGGTATGTTTCCTTTT